TCCCACTGTGCTGAAATTACCAATGCTTAATGGAGGAGAGTAACGATGTAGCAAAACCGTTGAATAACTTGCTGTTTGTTTGTTTTTATGGTCAGGAGAGAAGGTAAGCTGAAAAACATTGTTACGATAAACAAGTAATACTTGTTTCATTTACATCTATCTATCTATCTATCTATCTATCTATCTATCTATCTATCTATCTATCTATATATATATATATATATATATATATCAATCACAGTCTGTTCGAAATCTATCTATCTATCTATCTATCACAGTTTGTTCAAAATCAATCAATCTATCTATCACAGCCTGTCAAAAATCTATCTATCTATCTATCTATCTATCTATCTATCTATCTATCTATCTATATATATATATATATATATATATATCAATCACAGTCTGTTCGAAATCTATCTATCTATCTATCTATCTATCTATCTATCTATCTATCTATCTATCTATCACAGTTTGTTCAAAATCAATCAATCTATCTATCACAGCCTGTCAAAAAATCTATCTATCTATCTATCTATCTATCTATCTATCTATCTATATATCAATCACAGTCTGTTCGAAATCTATCTATCTATCTATCTATCTATCTATCTATCTATCTATCTATCTATCACAGTTTGTTCAAAATCAATCAATCTATCTATCACAGCCTGTCAAAAATCTATCTATCTATCTATCTATCTATCTATCTATCTATCTATCTATATATATATATATCAATCACAGTCTGTTCGAAATCTATCTATCTATCTATCTATCTATCTATCTATCTATCTATCTATCTATCTATCTATCACAGTTTGTTCAAAATCAATCAATCTATCTATCACAGCCTGTCAAAAATCTATCTATCTATCTATCTATCTATCTATCTATCTATCTATCTATCTATCTATCTATCTATCAATCACAGTCTGTTCGAAATCTATCTATCTATCTATCTATCTATCTATCTATCTATCTATCTATCTATCTATCTATCTATCTATCACAGTTTGTTCAAAATCAATCAATCTATCTATCACAGCCTGTCAAAAATCTATCTATCTATCTATCTATCTATCTATCTATCTATCTATCACAGCCTGTTCAAAATGTATCAATGTATATATCTTTCTTTTGCAATCTATCTATCTATCTATCTATCTATCTATCTATCTATCTATCTATCTATCTATCTATCTTCATCTCTCTCTTTTTCTATCTCAGTCTGTTAATATCTTTCTATTTATCTATCTTCATAAATATATATATGCATATATATATATATATATATATATATATATATATATAGAGAGAGAGAGAGAGAGAGAGAAAGAGAGAGAGAGAGGGAGAAAATGAGAGAGACAGATAGATAGATTGAGAGAGAGAGATAAATGAGATTTAACGCTTTTGGTATTTATCAATGCAAGTACCAACCTGACTTCGTTTCAAATAAAAAAAAACGTCTTCCTTTATTCTCATTCTTTTGCTGTAAACATCGAACTCGAATTGAATTTGTTTGCGTCTAACTTTCCCAGCGAAATGTTTCTATTCTATTTTATATCGTTGTGGCTTGATTTCGAAAACCTCTAATAGCGTTTTGTTAAAAAAAAGAAAAAGAAAAAAAGAATCGAGTTTGCTTGCTGATAAGGAAACTTTTGCTTAAACGTCATTCACTGAACACTACTTGAAACATATCACTAGACTTTGTAAGTTTTCTTCAGCCACACACAAACATATATATATATATATATATATATATATATATATATATATATAGAGAGAGAGAGAGAGAGAGAGAGTGTGTTTATTAGGGCAGCAGATCATTATTCAAACATATATTGTGAAATATAACAGACGACGAGTGTCTACTATGTTTGATCATGAGCCGCTCGTATGGCTGCTTTAATTTCGGGTGAAAATAAAGACAAAAGTTGCCCAACAGAATATAATCTTTGATGTTGAATATCTTTGTTTAAATGTCCATATAACCACTCTGAAGATGGCTCGTGTGACCCGAAAGCTTAGATCAAGGAACCGTATAATAAAAAATTATACAAATGTTAGACAATTTTTAAAAAATATTTCAATGTTTTAGATATTCAGTAAATTTCCTATGCGCGTAATAACTATGGCATTGTTCACAAATCTAATAATGAAACAAAATCAGGTATGAAGCATCAGAGCTTGATTCAACTGCAAGTGCAAACGCATGAACGCCCCCCACCTTCTACAGACGTTTACTGGAAAGCTGGGGTTAATAAGAGGTTCTTTGGGAATTTTTCCCTTTTAACGCTTCAATAATTCTTCTCAAACAATCTTTGCATCAAAGGTTGTTTGAATGCCAATTTAGGATGGAATTATATGAAGAAACGATTGGCTAGATGGCAAAAACCGATTTTGGACCTAGTTTGTTACAGATTTTGTACACTTAACTCAAATAATGTAAGCCAAATTTTCACGCAAGACAATTTGTGTGTCATCTGTAATTTACATGGCAAATTTTTAAAAGGACCGGATGAAAAACTTGTGAGCTTTGGCCAAAAGAACGGGCTTTTTTTAAACAGATTTTCGTTATACGCAGAGAAGCGAGCAGGACTAACACCACAATATATTATTTCTTGTATGATAGCAAATTTTTGTGACATGTTTGAAGAAAATCGGATAAAAAATGGGGAAGTTATTCAAGTTTTTTTTATTTTATGTAGTGCGAAAAACCGGATTTTTTCAGTTTTTGTGCGAGGCCAATGACATAGGAAAACTATCAAGCCCTCCACATAATCCTCTATTAGTATGGTGGTATCTGCCACATAGAGCTTACCGACTATTTCGTGTTAGGAAGAATAACGTGTATTAGTCTTTCAGTAGCACACCGATACTAATATCAGCATTAGTGTAGCCATCGATACACTAACACTGAATACGAATATAGAAAGACAAAATACGCGAGCGTAACAAACAAAACATTTAATAAGGCAAACAACTTATATACATATATTCAAAAGATTTACATATGTCCCAAAACAAATGATTGTCCATATTGTCCCAAAGGAATGAGGAGGTTTACAGAACGAGAACAAAGAAATAACATACGAGCTATATGGCCTTTGATAGTCCGCAGATAAGTGAATAGAAATTACCTTTTTCTTTCGCTAGGCCGTGCACATGTTGACCAGTTTCCACGTGTGTCGACCCCCTAGTGGTCAGGAAGGTAAAAGAGGCCATTCCTCCAAGAACGGAAGCAAAGACAAAAAAGGACAGAAGAGTTCCCCTCTCTAAAAGGGACCAAAGCTCCCATGAGTTCAACCCAGGGGAAAACAAATCCCTACACCTCGTAACATGAGCTATGTTTTGCATTAAGTGCAAAGAACATCAGCTCATCCATTACAAATTTTGTTCGCGTGTAACTTTGCTTTGGATTTTGCAAAAAGTTGTACCCACCTTCAATTTTATCGATTTTTTTTGCCCAACCCCAGTGGGAGGATGGGATGGGCTGGAGATTGAAAAGTTGGTCTTGACCTACCTTGGTAAATTTGCAAAATGTGTGTACGAGAAATGTGGACGTGCATAAAGAGTATAAACACACAGAGACACACACACACATATAGACACACAGACAGAGATCTTTTGTTTTATAGATATAGATATCTTCTTCAAAAGTCGTCTCACATAAAATTTAATACCGAGGCGAAAGGAATGAAACGGATAACTAAGAAGTGAGTATATCTTTGCTATTGTCATTATTCATGTGTGTCAAGGTTCATTTACAGCGACGCCGACCGGTCATGTACGGTAACTGAATAACAGCAATTAGTAGCAGAAAGCAAAGCAACATCGATTTCATTTCTTCCTGGCAGACTATCAATAACTAAACACTCCGAAATGTAGAAAACATATTTACAGAAAAAAAAAAAAAAAAATGAATCCGTCAAATTGCCCAACGTATATTTTTCTTTTTTCTGGAAATTTATTCAGTCTATGAATGATACACGCTTAGGCGATCATGTATCTTTCGATACATAACTAACGAGGCAGATTTTTTTCTTCCCGCAGTAGGTTGCCATTTCTTTCTGCGGTAGACCAGTTGCAATCCAAGGCTATAGAACCCGGCCTGCCTTGCTATTTACCCATAGCTGGGATTGGAGAAGAAGAGGATTCATACCTTTCCCAAGGGTCAGTCAGTTAAAGTGCCATGCGTGATACACGCTTAGGCGATGATGTATCTCTCGATACATGACTGACGAGGTAGATTTTTTTCCCGCAGTAGTTTCTAGTTGAAAGAAATGGTAGTTGCCATCCAAGGCTATACAACCCGGTCTTTGGGTAGGGGGGAGAAGAAGAGGATTCATACCTTTCCCAAGGGTATTAGCACGTAAGTGAATGTAATGGATTTGACTGGGATTCGAACTCGGCTCTCCAATTCCTCACAGAATCGGTATCCTTGGAATTAATCTTCTTCTGTTGTTTGCTATGGAACCCGGTCTGTTCTATTTCATTTTTTTCATTTTGTCATTTATTTTTCCTAACATTTTTCTGGGAGAAGAAGAAGAAGAGGATTCATACCTTTCCCAAGGGTATTAGCACGTAACTGAATCTAATGGATTCGACTGGAATTCGAACTCGGCTCTCCGATTCCTCAATCCGAGCCGTTTTCTCCACCATATTAGAAAAGCGAACCGAGAATCTTATACCGAGGATTGGTAAATTACTACTACGAAAGATATTGATTAGTCGATTTATTTTTTACGGGTTATCGACCTTTTGTAGGTTATTTAAAGCCAGACAGTATTATTTTTTTTTTGTATTGTAAGGATTTTTTTCGGCGATAATAATGATTTAGTGATACTAGTCTTAATAATAAACCCATAACTTTCCGGCGGATTCAGACCCTTTCTTAAGGGTATTTGGGGAACATAACGAACCCGAATACAGGTAGAACTCGGCTCTCCGATTAACACTTCCCAGCCACTATCCATGACACCATCCGCACATCCAAGCTTACAACACCTGGTATTCCCAAGCGGTCACCCATCTAAGTACTCACCAGTTGCTTAACTTCGATGATCGTACGGGAAACGGTGTTTCAACGTGATATGGCCATAAGCCCTGGTCTGCTCTGCGATGATGAACCGCATAGGCTTTAGATTTGCCACAGAATCTCACTTGTCATCGTCCTCGTGCGGCTTGGCGGTGGTCAGTGCCGGATAGACACGAGCTAGTATGGTAGCCTAGGGGCCCCAAAACTTGTTGGGGCGCACCCACCTTCTAACTAGAAATGGACTGGTCCCTCTTATATAAGTCAGCTCTAGAGAGAGGACAGGGAGAGCGTCAGCAGTCCAGATAAGGTTACCCGGTACATACCGTTGGACTATAGACTTTGGATATTGTTTCGTACTAACCAACCTTTGTTCTACTACTCACTCTATTGTTAATTGCTTTTACAAATATACCAGTATTTTCCTCTACAACTGTGTTTGTCTTGATTCATACACCCACACGCGGGAAAACTCTCAACATCTCAAAACTGGACAAAACAAATTAAAGATCTTAGAACATGGGAGTGATACATTGTTATATAGGAATAAAATGTCGCTGCCGACACTTGAGTTTGAACATAGATCGCCAGTGAGCAAACACAGGCGATCCCATTATTGATTTAAATAGACCACGTGACCATAGAGGAAACGTATATATGAGAGGTAGCGTGTGTCTAATTGTTCTACATTTCTAATCTATCCTCTATCCTATAAGGATCTATCCTCTATCCTATAAGGATCTATCCTCTATCCTATAAGGATCCCCATTTCTAGTCTATCCTCTATTACTATTCGGATCGCTATTTCTAGTCTATCATCTATTACTATACGAACCGCTATTCCCTACTCTGTTCACTGTACTATTTCTCCATTCGGATCACTATATACGGGTTACTATTCGAGCGAGTATTATCGAGCAAGTACTATTAATTCGAGTGTTATTCGAAGACGTCTGACACCAGTATTGTTCAATGGCGTTACTATAGTTCTATCTGCGATTACAAAGTCTCTACTACAACGAGCATTACGAAAGTGAAAACGAGTATTCGTTGACATCACAAAAGTGGCAACGAGTGTTCGTTGGCATCAGAAAATACATTATCTTTCGTTAAAATGTGATATACAAAAGCCTGTACTTTTCTGTCTAAGCTCCACGATTTAGAATTGCTAGCACGGTTATTTGAAGATGACAATTTTAACAATAAATATAATTAATTTGTTTATTTCAGTTGTAGTGATCTAGACTCGCAAGTCAGAAATATACTTCTCCATCTTTTGTTCTCTGAGGACGCTTTGCGAGCGGAATTAATTACTAGAATTCCAGACTAATACAGTCCCTTCATTCCAGGTACATCACCTGTAGGCTGTGAAAAAAATGTCGGGAAGTTAGTAGTGAAATAAAATGGATGAGTTCCAAAATCATAAAAAAATTTAGTTGAAGTGATTCATCAGTATCTGTCTATATTTCTGAGATGAGGTATTATGTACACTATTTACATTATTCGGACTATTGTCCTCATATTTTTCGCCATATTTATTACAACGTTTCAACCTTTCAGTATCTGTCTATATTTATGAGATGAGGTATTATGTACACTATTTACATTATTCGAACTATTGTCCTCATATTTGTCGCCATATTTATTACAACGTTTCAACCTTTCAGTATCTGTCTATATTTATGAGATGAGGTATTATGTAAACTATTTACATTATTCGAACTATTGTCCTCATCTTTGTTGCCATATTTATTACAACGTTTCTACCCTTTAGTATCTGTCTATATTTCTGAGATGAGGTATTATGTACATTATTTAGATTATTCGGACTATTGTCCTCATCTTTGTCGTCATATTTATTACAACGTTTCGGACCTTTAGTATTTGTCTATATTTCTGAGATGAGGTATTATGTACACTATTTCCATTATTCGGACTATTGTCCTCATCTTTGTCATCATATTTATTACAACGTTTCGGCCCTTTAGTATTTGTCTATATTTCTGAGATGAGGTATTATGTACACTATTTCCATTATTCGGACTATTGTCCTCATCTTTGTTGCCATATTTATTACAACGTGTCGGCCCTTTAGTATCTGTCTATATTCTGAGATGGAGTTATTATGTACACTATTTCCATTATTCGGACTATTGTCCTCATCTTTGTTGCCATATTTATTACAACGTGTCGGCCGTTGTACGCTCCGGCCTTTTTCAGGTGGTTTGAATGTTGAATTGAAACCTTTATTTCCTTCACTGGGGTAGACTGTTCTAATCACACGTGTCATAATAATAATAATAATAATAATAATTTCGAAGCGAACAACATTCTTCCACTGGAGCAGAAGGGATGCAGAAGAGGTTCATATGGCTGCAAAGACCAACTACTGATAAACAAAATGATCTTGGAAAATTGCAGGAGACGATGTAGAAATCTTAGCGCAGCGTGGATTGATTATCGTAAAGCCTTTGATAGTGGGCCACACTCTTGGATCCTGAAGACTCTGGAAATGTACAAAGTTTCTCCTGTGGTAGTAAAGTTCCTTAAGCCCAGCATGGGAATGTGGAACACCACACTATACCTAAATCACACCAGAGGCACTGCCATCTCCAACCGTCTGAATATCCGACGCGGAGTCTTTCAAGGAGACTCATTTCCCCCCACTTCTGTTTTGTTTGTCCTTAATCACCCCACCCTTTACGCATGAACGGAGCAATAATAGCTATGGTTACAAATTAAATAAGAAAGTATTCAATCACCTACTCTACATTGATGGTCTCAAACTCTTTGCCAAAGACGACAATGAGTTGAAAGGCCTCCTCAATATTGTAAAATACTTCAGTGACGACATAGGTACGGACTTCAGATTAGATAAATGTGCAAAAGTAACTTTCAAGAAAGGTAGAATTACAGAAACACCCTTAATAGATTTAGATTTTGTCACAAAGATTAGGGAACTGGAACATGATGAAGCCTATAAGTATCTGGGAATTAGCGAATGAGATGGTATACAACATCCCCAAATGAAGGAGAAGGCAAGAAAGGAGTACTACAGGCGTGTAAGCTTGGTACTAAATACCGCGTCAAATTAAAAAAAAACCAGAATATCAGCCATAAACACGTTGGCTGTCCCTGTAGTGTAAGACAGTTTTAACATCCTTAATTGGACCATAGCTGACATTAAGTGAATGGACGCCAAAACAGTATCGGCACCCACTGAATATAAAACCTTGCACGACAGAGTGGGCCAATATCTGCACTGGAAAATATGCAACTTCTATGGGAAGGAAACAGCAAGAAATTGGTATAACACCACCCAGATCCGGTTACAGAGATAAGATCTGTTACAATTTTATGGGACTACACAATGCACACAGACAGGACAATCAAAGCCAATCGCCAAGACACCATTATTAGAGACCGCAAACAAAAAAAATTGCCTCCGTATTGTTATGGCAGTCCCTGCAGACTGCAATGTATCTTTGAAGATCTTTAAAAAGCTATCAAAATGCAAGGACCTTGAAATCGAAATATCAAAAATGTGGAATATGGGAACATCAACAATCCCTGTTGTAGTTGGAGCCCTAGGATTGGTTGGAAAAGATTCCAGTAGACTAATTGAAGGGATTTTTGGAAGCCCATGCCTTAACGAAATACAAAACATATTTTTCACGAGTACAGCCCACACCTTACGAAGGGCTTTATTTATGTAAAATATGTGTTGTTTTTTTAGTTAGTCAGTGGAAAATGTCATGATGACATTTCAAACCTTAGGTCTCTGGACGGGACCTGGAAAGAAATGTGTACAAGCCAGAAATCAAAGGAAATAAAATAATAATAACAATAAATGATGTAACTATCCTCTGGGACATGCGAATTCAAACTGACAGGGAAATAAAAGCCAACAGACATGATATTATCATAAAAGACAAGAAATTCGAGAAGTGTATGTTTATTGACATAGCAGTACCATCTGGGGGAAATACCTCCATGAGAATAATCGAGAAATTTTCTAAATACAGGGACCTGGAGATCGAGATTAACAGGATGTGGGGAATGAAGAATGAGACTGTACCAATAGTCATCGGAGCACTGGGCCTCGTTAGAAAAGCAATGAACAATTTTATTAACAGTGTCCGTGTTTACATCAACATACAAGTTGATCTCCCTGCTAGGAACATGAGCTTATTCAATCATTAATTTAAGAATTTAAATTAATCAGAATATTACAATAGGAAAACTGTTAAATTGTTAAATTAAAACTAATAATAATAATAATAATAATAATAATAATAATAATAAAAGTTTTCAAAATACAAGGACTTTGAAATAGAAATCTCGAAAATGTGGCTTTATTTTTTTAATTTTTTTGTCATGGGAACATCAACAATCCCTGTTGAAAAAAAAATAATAATAAGTTGGAGACCCTAGGACTGGTTGGAAAAGATTGCAGTAGACTAATTGAATTGAAGGGATTCCTGGAAGTCCATGCCTCAAGGAGATACAAAAAATTGTTCTGACAAGTACAGTCCACACTTTACGAAGGGCTTTATCTATGTAATTTTTTTCTTTATTTTTTTTTAATTTTTTGTCAGTGGAAAGTGTCATGACGCCATTTCTAACCTTAGGTCTCTGGGCGGGACCCGGAAAGAAATGTGTAAACGACAGAAATCAAAGGAAATAAAAAAATAATAATAATAATAAATCAAAATAATAATAATCGAAAAAGTTGTCAAAAATACAAGGACCTTGAAATAGAAATCTCAAGGAGAAAATGTGGCATATGGGAACATCAACAATCCGTGTTGAAGTTGGAGCCCCTAAGACTGGTTGGAAAAGATTGCAAAGTAGACTAATTGAATGGGATTCCTGGAAGTCCATGTTGGAAAAGGAGATATAAAAAATTGTTCTGACAAGTACAGTCCACACTTTACGAAGGGCTTTATCTATGTAATTTTTTTATTTTTTTTTTTTTTATTTTTTGTCAGTGGAAAGTGTCATGACGCCATTTCTAACCTTAGGTCTCTGGGCGGGACCCGGAAAGAAATGTGTAAACGACAGAAAT